GTTGGCCTAACGGCTCAAATGGCTGGCGGCGGTGGCCTAAAGGAGGCATGTGCTGGTTCGTTTCGTATGGCCCGCAGGGCGTTTCCAGGCTTGGCAAGAAAAGGGTCAAAAGCACTGGTGGGTTAAAGATATAGCTATAGAGCATGCCATAGGAGGCTACCAACCACCCAAGTGGTAGGTAAGAGATGGCAGAGGGACTCTCCCCTGCACCTGCCACCCAAGGTACTTTTGATAACTTTGCCTAGTCAAGGTATAAATTGCCTGGACTGCCAACTAATGTCAGGGTATCCCATGGGAAATTTTGCATCAGTGCCTCCTCACCCCAGACTGGCCGGTTCAAGCTCCGATGTAGAGCAGAAAGGGATATTGTCACCAATCTGTTCCTATTGTGAAAAATCCTCCCAGAGGGGAGAACCGCTAGTTTTCCTGACAGCCGCCCAGCTCTGGAGATGGAGGGACACAGCCTGGCACATTATAGATGACTACCACCTACCATGGGATGCAGGCCTCATCCTGCTGAGCAACATGGTCTTCTCTGCTCGCCGCCGCTTGTGCCTGGTCTTTATAATTAGAAAGAGACTGTGAGTGGCTTTGGGAGTGAGAACTATTTTTGAGTAGAGAAAGAGGGGCCCACCCAAGCTTTTAAATAATCCGTTTGTTTATTGAAAGAGGGGGGGGGGGGGGGRGGGGGGAGTACCGCTTGCCCAGATCAACCCCGACGTCCAGATGGTGTCCACACATCCCGGGTCCAGGTATATCTGGGTCTTCATTCAGCGTGAGTATCAGCAAAAACCACTCCACACACACACAATGCGCCAGGAATAATCACTGTTTTCTGTATCGGTATCTGGGGCTACAATCACCACCTGGGCGGCCCAGCTGGGCAAGAGCCAGGTGAGGCTCCTGGACAAAAACAAAAAGAAGGAAAAACAAAACAATGTCATTACACAGAATAATAAACTAACCAACTAGGCTGTTTTTCTGGGCGCCCGGGCACCTAACTTGTGCCCGGATACACGCCCGGGTGCCCGGCCGGGCAGGGTTCCAGGCAGCCCCAGCGCCAAAAAAATAAAATAAAAAATAAACAAATTCCGGAAAAGAAATATGTTGTGTAGAATTGCAATACAAACCACTTTTGGCTGAGGGTCACATCCGAATTCCTCACCAAATCGGAGATAAAAAAGAAAATAACAAATCACACCAAGGCACCCCCCTTTAAACCCCCTTAGCCCCTTTAAAACAAATTTATACCCCCCTTTCCCCCCCTGGACAGGCAACTCTCAAAAAAAGAAAAGAGCCCGGATTTGGGGTCCTCTGGGAGAGCGCAGAAATAACTTTTTTTTTTTTTTTTTTTTTCCCCCGGGGGCCCGGCCGGCCATGAAAATCTTCCTAGCTAAACGACTTTTTTTTTTTTTTTTTTTCAACTGCACTATTCTTCTTTCAAATTCTTAAAAAAAAAAAAAAAAAAAAAAAAAAAAAAAAAACAGCCCGAGGTGGTGCTAGGGGTGCTGATAAGAGCAGACACCACTAACACTCTCGGGGAGGCTCCATCTACTGGTGTGGAGCAACACCTGCTGGAAACTGGGTCCAGCGTCCCTGAACATCGTGCTTGCTTGTTTGCTTGTATGTATGTAGAGATATCATGTTGTAGCGACTGCTAGCTGCGTTGGTGCCAGAATAGCCTGACATGTCATCCATGTCATCCATGTGGCAGATTATGCTAGACTGTGGCTCTTGTATTCTGATTCTGGAAATTATTCAGGGCAGTTGCCCCTCTGTGGCATATAGCTTCCTGTTCCGATCTCTTTATCTCCGTCTCACTGGCCACCTCTTCAGC